GAGCTGCAGGATTTTAGCTTCCTGGGACATCCGAGGGACTCTTCCTCCTCCTCCTCCCACTCCACCGCAGCAGGCAGCTGAAACCCTGCCCGGACCAGGCAGTGCTCACCCCATGGCCACCCCGCATCTCCCCGCAGCCACCAGCTGAGCCTCCTCTACAGCATCCCCAACTCCACATGGTGCATCCCGACTTTTTTTCCCTGCTCCGAACCGGAGCTCCCCAACCTCGCAGGGAGGCGAGCGTGCGGCCAGGACGTTCTTGAAGGCAGGGGCACGTTAAGATGTTGAAAGCTCCCCGGCCGAGAGGGGCTGTACGGACGCCAAGCCACCCGGTTAGAGGGGAGCAGGATGGACAGAGCCCTTGGGACCAGGAACCGAGGTCGGTAGGGAAGGATGGACTCCCGGACCTGCCAGGACAGGCAGCCCAGTGACCACCCCAACAGCAGCAGCAGCAGCAATTGTAGCAGCAGCGTCAAGAATAATTGTGAAAGGGAAAGGATCCGCAATCGGATGAAAATGGTCATTGGCCAACTGGAAGGCATCTTACAGGAGCTCAAGGAGGTGGCCAAGGAGCTCCGGGAGGTAGGAAAGTTCTGCAGTGTCATCACATCCCTGTGCGGATGGCCTCAAATGGGGGTCCCCTGTCGCCATCCCACTGCCTGTCCCCTGCCTTCAGGGCCAGGCTGGGGGGAGCAGAGCCAGCTCAGCACCCATCAGCCCCAGGAGGGACCGGGGGTGGCACAGCCCAGCTGTTTTGGGATAGGATGTTCAAAAAGGCAGGGGGATGAAAAAAAATAGCCACAGTTTGCAAAATTGCTCTTGACCTTGACACCAGGGTTTGGTGGGGGTCAGGGGTCCGGCTGAGGTACCAGTCCCATGGGTACTGGTGGTGGGTCACATGCTGGGGCTGGAGGAGCTGGTGGTGCTGTTGCTGTGCTGTAGGCATGGCTCTGCTCTGCCTTAGGGGTGGTTTTCAGGCTCCTTTTCAAAGCAGGGATGTGGATGGAGATGGGGCAGTGGGTCCCTCTGGCCATTGCAGAGAGCACCCAAGATACTGGCATGTGCTCTGAGTGCAATGAGGGGGGAGTCCATGGGGTGGGCAAGGGGCCAAAGTGACCCGTTATCTCACAGCTTGGCTGTCAGGGTCCATTGCTCCTCAAAAAAAAAAAAAAATGTATATATACACACATACAGAGTGTGGTTGGAGTTTCCTCCCAGTGTGGAGGCATGGCAGAGGTGGTTTGGTGGGAAATTTAGTATTTTTGTGGCTCAAAGATTCCCAGAGGAAGGGGATCTGGATGGGGCTGGTAATTTAGGAGGTCTCTGGAGGTGATGGGGGAAGTGGTGAATGAAAAGCGTGCGGTAGCCTTGAGGATGGCGTGGCAGCTTGTTTTTGCAATGGGGCAGGCAGGTGTTTGCATCCTCTCCGTGGCCTGAGCCGAGCGTGATGACGTTATATCCAGAGCCTCACAAAAGCTTGCATCCTCCTGGGAAGGGCTGAAATTGGTGGAGGTTTTGCCATGGGGCTGGACCGGAGCAGTCCCATGCAGGTTGGTGACACTTGGGTGCCACCAAGAGAGCATTGATGCAGCTAAACCAACATCATCCTTGGTGTAGATGTGGCCGTGGTCAGGGAGGTGACATCTTCCATCTTGAAGCATCCCCTGGGATGCAGTGTCCTCCTTCAGGATGGCTCCACTCAGAACAGGGGATGTTAGAGAGGCCAGCACCATGGTGATGCCACGTCCCCCCACACTGTCCCCTTGGGTCCTGTCAAGCTTCGTGTGGCTCCATGGGTTCTCCGTCCACTTCTTGAGGTCAAAAGGACCTTGAGCATCCCTGTGGCATCCTTGATGGGCTGCCCAAATCAGGTTGTACCAGCATGCATCAGGGCAGAGAAGAGGAGAAGGTGGCCTGGGGACACAGGGGAGGGGTAAAGGGGACATTCCCCTGGGGACGTGGTTTTGGAGCAGGTTCAAAGGAGGAGGAACAGCTTTGGAGGGTAGAAGAGGGCAGCAGGTCCCTGCGCTTTGAGGAGCAGAGGGTGGCCAGAGGGCACCGTCATCTGCCCCTTACCCTGGGGACACCCTGTCTTTGTGCCAGGGAGGGCATCCCTGCCCCATGATGTGGCTTCTCCAGAGGGTGCTGGGATGTGTTATGGTCTGGAGATGACTCTGACAAGGAGATGGCACATCTCCAGACACTGGTGACCTCCCATAGCTCCATCCCATAGCTGCCCTGGAATTGCTCCTCACATCACGGAGCGACACGGCCAGGTCAGCACAGAGCCAGCCACAATGTCCCCACCATGAGGTGGGTCTGAAACATCAACCCTTCTCCACAACTCCTACAGTGTATGCATAGAACTTGGCAGCAATTAGTTGAATTTATATAAAACAGCACAAAACTCAGTACAAGAGGAGGAGCTAAAACATACCTGTCCAGCTGGGCTCCAGCAACTCCGAAGAAGCAGAGGTCTGGTTTTCCCCAAACCAAGCAGATGTTGAGTATTAGAGACTTTGGAAATTCAACTTCTTGTCTTCCATATTGCTCTGAGTGAGCGCGATGGGAGCACCCTCAGTGGAAACCTTTTTCAAGCCCACCCAGAAAAGTCGGTGGTAGACACCAGGCTGGCAAATTGTGAGCTGTAGAAGATGATAAAGAAAAATAAGTCGCTGTGGTTGTCTACCTTGCATGTAGTGATGTTCTTCCTCAGCTGGAGGTGCAGGCCAGGCCATGGGGACAAGGCTGGGGACAAGCAGCCCTGCAGCCCCAGGCAGGGACTGATGACCCTGAACATAACTGGGCTCACGGGTGGGGGTCCCAGGAGGGGCTGCTCAGGGTCGTTAAAGCCTGGTAGTGCCCGTGGGGCCCTGGCACTTGTGATACTGGTGTATTCTCCAACGGAGATGCCATGGTGGAAATGTCCATCCTGGTGGCAATCTCCTCTGCTCGGGACTTGGCCAGCAGGCTGGGGGCACGGGGCTGGATGTGCTCGGTGAGGGCAGCAGTGGACCCAATCCTGCCGCACCAGACACACCCATGGAGCTGGAAAACCTTTGCTGGGTGATGCTGGAAGGCACTGGCTGATGCTGGACCTGCTCCTTCCAAGTTCTCCTTCAAGAGGAGCTGGGTAGCAGGACATTGCAGGTCTGGGAGAAGCAGGCAGGTCATAACCACCTCGGCAGCCCCAAAACCATCAAAATCCCTGTGTGGGCATGAGAGCTTTCACCCAGGGATGATTCCTGCTCCGAAACCACTCGCCAGCTCCAGGCACAGCCAGCTCCAGCTCACAGAAGGTTTTTCTCCCAGCTTCAGCTGAGATTGAGTCCTGGACTCAGGCAGGACTGGGGGATGCTCCAGGTGAAGGCTTCGGTAGGGGACCCCAGGGCACCCCCCTGCTCCGCTGGCCCATCCCTGGGGATGCAACGCGAGACCAGAGCCTGGTTCAGGCACCATCCCCAGCTCCCAGGAGCGGTTCCCACCTGAAGGCTGTCACTCCAGATGTCCGTCTGATTCAGGATGGTGTTTTACCAGTTTCTCCGCTTTTTTTTCTTTCCCTTTTGTGTATATAATTATTCCCCAGCACTCCAAGACAGGGCTGTATTATGTGCGGGGAAAATGATTATTAAAAAATCTTTGATTGAAATGGCACACTGGAAGTAGAAAGCAGGCAGGAGGCAGGCAAGGGAAGGTGCTTCCGCCAAGTGCTTGCCACACTGCCTGCCCTCCCACGCACCTCCTGCCAACCCCGGCCTTTTCCTCTGGGAATAAGGCTGATGCCACAGAGGAAAAAAAATGCTCCAGGAGGTCCCAGCCATCTCCATGGCAAGGCTGAGCTCCTTCCCAGCCTTGGGGGATCCTTTTGCTTGGTGCTGGGGGTCAAAAACCAACCGTGGAGTCTATTCAGAGCTGGGAAATAAAAACAAATATCTGTGCAAGTCTCCCTACCCCCTCCAAAATCCCGTGGGAAGGGTGCTGTCAGCCCTGCACCCCGTGATGTGGGAGCACTGGGGTCCCACCACGCTGGGAAGCAGCACAGAGGGGTCCCCTCCAAGCTTTTGGCAGGAGGAAAATCCTCCCTGCAAGCCCCTTATGAGAATAAATACCTTAATCACATCGTAATCAATAGGTGATTAGCTGGGAACACTTGGGAAAGTTCACGGTGAGAAAGCGGCTTATTATTCTAATAATAACAACATGTTTTAGAGATCCGCGCGATGATTTCCAACTATTTAGTGGCTGATGATCTAGGAAATGATCCTGGGATCCGTGGCACGCTCATTTATAAGCATCAGCTCAGGGGCCCCTGTAACCCAGCTTCTCTTGGTGAGCTCCAATTAATCATTTATTCCTTATTAAATATTTACTCAACTTGCCTGCGCCGGGAAGCGGTTTGGGAGATGTGGGAAGGTCCCTGCTCCGGGAGAATTTGGCTGTGGGATTGTGGGGGCTCTGCCAGAGGCTTCAGGGTGGCTTTTTTCCTCTGTGGAGGGAAGAAGTGATGTTCAAGGCGACAGTGTGAAACACCTCTGGGATGCTTTGGGTATAGGTTGGGGATTTTTGGCATGGGCCACGTGGTCCCATTGCACATCCCCTCCATGTGCCATATGCTTTGGACCCCAAAAATGCTGCTGGAGGTGCGCTGCAGAGGGATGGGGATGGATGGAGACAGGGATGGATAGGGATCGATGGGGATGGATAGGGAGGGATGGGGACTGAGCCAGCAGCCAAGGGACCATGGGGTCTGGGGGGGGCACAAAAATCCCTGCTCCTCTCCCAGCCTGGCTGGGGATGACATGCTTTGCTCTGGATTGGGAAAAAAACCATGGCAGGAGGGCAGCTTAGCGGACACTCCCCCGATGTCGAAGCAAAGACACCCCTGCTTTGATCTCCCCACCCCAGACCCCCTCTTCACCCAGCAGTACCCGCCCCGAGCACCAGTCTGCTTTGCCCACCCGCTTCAAAGGCCGTGCCGGGATGAAGGGGCCGTTAGATCACACCGCTTTGATCCCACCATCTTCCACCTCCTTCCCCAGCCTCGGGACTACGCATTACCAATTACCGGCCACGAAGCCTTTGAAGTCCCCTCTCATCCTCCTGCCTCGTCCCTCCCCTCTCCAACATCTTCTCAAGCTTCCAGGAGGTTTTGCTCTGCGGTAGGAAAGGAAACAGCACGGCCAAAATGTGGAAGCTGGGACACCCAAGCTTTGATCTGGAAAGCTCCTGGCTGCGAGCACTGCCCTTGGGTGCACTGACAGTACATGGGGTGAGGGGAGCTCCCAGCACCGAGTGGTGGGAGCTGGTTTTTGGGGTGGAGGTGAACTGGTTTAGCGCACCCTTGCTTGGTGCCTGTCTCTGCATGGGCCCATCCCTCTGCCTCGCTCCAGTCCACCCTCTGGCTGCTCAAAGCTTGTCACTTTGGGTGAGAGCTGAGCATCCCTTGGCCACCCAGCACCTGCTTTCAGGGCACTGAGGCACAGCAGGATGAGGCCCCTTGATGACACCACCCATGAGATCATAGGGAATTATTTTTTCTCCCTGTTTTCCTGCTGGCAGGTCCCCTCAGTTTGAGCAGGGATGCTCTGCTGTCACCAAAAGGTGACACGTCCACTCTTGGTCACCTAGATGACACCTCCAGCACACATCGGGACCCTCATCACCTGAGGGCACCCCCTCATCACCTGAGACAGAGCCCCCCAATTCCCAAGGGATTGAGAGCATCATCCCAAACCACCCCATCCCAGGCAGCAGGATAGGATCTGCTCCATCTGTCCCTCCCCATCACTCTCCCCCTGGCTCCCTCTGCCAGCATGAGTGGCCTCAGCTCCAAATCTTTGACAACCTACCTCAGGAAGGAGAAAAAGGGGGGGGAGAAAAACCCAAATCCTACTTTACATTTAAATCCTCTGAGGATACCAAGTGTTCATGTAGGTATTTAACACCCACCCCCCACCTCCACCACCAACTAGTTAAAATAGAAAGCACTCCTAAAAATAGCCCCAAGTGAGCCACCGGTGATGTGACACTAATCCCTGTGTGCCGTGGTGAGGACTGGGATGGGGACAAGGATCAGGATGGGGATGAGGACCAGGACTGATGTGGATGAGGATCAGGATGGGGACGAGGACTGGGATAGATAGGGACCAGGACTGGGACGGGGATCAAGATGAGGATGAGGACCAGGATGGATGGGGTTGAGGACTGGGATGGGGATCAAGATGGGGACAAGGACTAAGATGGATGGGGATGAGGACCAGGATGGGGACAAAGACCAGGATGTGGACCAGGATGGGCACGAGGACTGGGATGGTGACATGCCTCCTCCTGGCACCCACCAAGCCCAAATCACAGCATGTCCCTTTAACGAGGATGAGGAGGAGCAGGGACCCAACTCAAAAGCCCAGATTGATGCTTGCCCTGAACCCAGTGGTATAATCACTGGGCCTTTATGAAAACAGAGGTGGGCTCATTTTAGCTGAGGGTTTCAGCAGAATCATTTGCTGCCTTATTAAAAAATAATAATAGCCAGGTGTTCCCCGGGAGCAGCTTGTTTCCTGCCCTTTTTCCTAATTCTTTCTTGTCACCGAGAAAGAAGAGGTCACATCATCATTTTTTTTTTCCTCTTTTCCTCGATTTTCACCTTTTCTACCCCAAAGAAAAGAGGGGGAAAAAAGGAAAAAAGAAAAAAAAGAAAAAGAAAAAACCATCTTGTGGTGCATTGGGAACAGCAGTAATTGCCTTTTCTGGTTCCAACACTTTCTTGCGGATGCTGGCACGGATGCTCCTAGCTCACCCTCAGCACCCATCAAAGCCAAAGCCTGAAGGATAGATGGGTCCCTGCTTGCCCTCCCCAGAAGTCTTGCGTGGGCAAGGAGGCAAGAAAACTAAGTCAGAGTTCATGGGTGGGGAGCTTAGGTAAAGCCTGTTGCCTTCTGCTGCCTGGGATGAGAAGCACTCAGCTCACTGTCCCCAGCACTACTCGGCTTTGGGGACCCAAAGTCCCCCCAGGAGATGGGGACGTGATGGAGGTCCAAGACGCAGGACCAGGGATGGACTTCAACATACCTTCAAGAGGTCCATCCTGGAGAGAAACCAGCCATGGGGCTTAGGGCAGCTCAGGAGGGTTCTGCTAGTCCTGGGCTGAGCTTACAGGAGTTCCTGGGCCATGGGCAGGGCGGGGTGGGGATCCCAGTTGGGACTGATGGAGGTTTATTAGTGCCCATCACCATGTCCTCAGGGCTGATGGTGGGAGTGCTCCTCATTTCCAACCCAAACTTAATCCAGGCTCTACTGCACCCTTTTTCCCTGAAAATATGGTTTTTTGGCAACTTTTATCACCAACATGTCCAACATGCCGCCGGGCAGCAATCCCCAGCCCTTCAAGCTGCATTTTCCTGGTGACACCAACCGGTCCCACCTCAGAAGGGGTCCCCCCATCCCCAGAGGCTACCTGACTCTCTGCTCCATGTTTGTACCAGGCAGCAAAAGCATCCATCCAGCCCCATCACCCCACTCCTGTGCCCCTTGGAGCTGTGCCCTCATGGAGGTGACACTAATTTGTCCTCCAGAGAGCCTCAACCAGGTTGTCCCCAGGTTGTCACGCAGCATCTGATGACCTGAGAAATGGTCCTGGCTGCAGCCAGAGCCTGGAGATGTCCAGCAGGGACCTGCAGCTGATTTATAAAAGGGGGTGTTGCGTGCCTATGGCTGGATCCCCCCAACAAGCAAACAGGGAGGGAGGGTCCCGCATTCTCAGCGCTGTTTCCTCGGGAGCTTGGCAGAGCAGGAGAGCTGCGTGGGCAGAGTTATCAAAGAAGGGAAATTTGGAGCTCAAAAATGAGAAATTTATTAAAATTAGGTCAGCAGAGTGTAACGGAGCCACTTCACCTGCTGACAGCATAATCGTCCCCTCAGGCTCCTGGTTTCCGATGTTCAGAAATATTAAATTACCCTTAACCCTGCCCATGAGGGCTTAGCGAGGAGCCAGCCCTGCTGAGCCATGCTTTATGGTGCGTTTCCAGTGGTTTATGGTGTTGACCCAAACTTCCGCGTACCGACATCTAGCAGAGGGATGCGGAGACCAAGGACAAGTATGACAGCAGATTTGGGGTGTCTGCCCTTGGTCACCCAGGGATGGGGTGTCTGAGCCCAAGGACTCAGTTTTCCCATGCAAAAGTGCTCAAAAAAAAATGGAGTTATGGGATAACAGAAGCATAAAAATGATGGAGAGATGTGCCATGATTAATTAGTCTTGGTGGATGAGAAGGTCCAACACCCATTGATGAACCATGGCATGGGTGGAGATGTGGCAGGGCTTTTTGGTGGCATGAGAAGGAAACAAAACGTGTCTGGCAAGATATCACCCATTGATCTGTGTTCTCTCCCTTATTCTGGGAAATTTGTGGCTTATTTCCACCAGGAAAGGACGTGCAGAAGAGCAGGGGAAGGAAAAAGATGAGGAGGAAAAGGCAGTAATGCAAAATAACCAAAAAAAACATTTATGCATGGAGAAACCACCTGGAAAAAGCCAAGAAAAATTAGGGGTTTTGCTCCCAAATGTGAGCAAATGTGGGATGGGAGGGCTGGGGAATAAAGTCGGGGGGCACCAATGCCCATGGATGGCTGGTGGGGAGGGGAGGACAAAATGCATCAACTGGGTGCACCAACAGGTATGAGGGTTATCGAGGGGTTCCCCCAAGTCCCCTCCACTCGTCTGCCGCTGCCCACCTCCTCCTTGGCAGCGCTGGGACCGGCCAGGCCCCCTGCCAGCTCCCCCGCAGAGTGGGGAGGGAGGCGAGCCAGCAACCCTGCCAAAAATATGCGCTTCAAACTGCTGCCGAGTTGAATTTTCACGTCGTGCTCTGCCTCTCCCACAAAAGCAAGCCACCCACGCCCCCGCATGCATAGATACACACAGAAACCCAGCCAGGAAATACCACGATGCTCCCAGAGATGTGGTGATGGCTCCAGCGGGTGCTCAGGTGGGACTGGGGACCCCCAGGCAGGATTAGTGCTGTGCTTGGTGCTGGACAGACCTTGATTAAAGACTTGAAGGTGGGTGATGAGCTTCTTGCAGCTGAAATCTTGGCAAGGTCACTCGATGGAGACTACGGTCCATGGGAGTCATTAGAGGTCTTTCCTCCCCCCTTCCAGCCCTGCCCATGGCTTGAACACCAGCTAGGACATTACATTTATTATTTTTAATTTTTTAAGGACTTGTTTTACTCATGCCTCATGGGGGGTCTGTCCCCTGCAGCATGGCAGGGCCACTACCCCACCCGCAAGCCACCATGGGTCTTGATACACCCAACACCTTGCGAGATGGAGGACTGGGGACTGAGCCCATCAGCATCCCAGCCAAGGTGGGGGGTGACAGTGCTGTCCCCGCAGCGCTCCTACTTTCCCGTGTATTTTGTCCCACGCCTTTAGGACATTTTCCCCCCCCTGCCTCAGTTTCCCCACCCGCAGAGCTGCCTTTTCCAGCATGAGGAGGAGGCAGTGGTTGCTGGTGGCTCCCCATGGGCAAGTGTGAGGGACCAAGGGACACCATGCTGGGTGACACCCACGGTTCCCAGGGGACAAGGCGGACCCCAGAGCCACCCTGAGAAAGGTCCATCTGCCACACTGAGCACCCAGGGGCACCCAAGGCTTCGGTCCGGGTTCGCAGGGGTGGCTCCACTTGGGCTGAGACCTCCCAACTCATGACACTGCTGGTGCTGGGGGAAAAATGTCAGAGATTTAGGGATGGGGTGTGATTATGGAGCTAAACTGGGAGGGTCCCATCTCTGCTCATCTGTCCATCCGTCTGTCCGCAGGTGGTGAGCCAGATTGACCGCCTGACGTCCGACTTCGAGTTCGAGCTGGAGCCAGATGACTGGACGACGGCGACGGCCAGCAGCACCTCCAGCAGCGAGAAAGGAGGAGGCACCTTCGAGCTGGGACCCCTCGATTTCACCGCCTCCGCTAAACTGGGAGGGTCCCATCTCTGCTCATCTGTCCATCCGTCTGTCCGCAGGTGGTGAGCCAGATTGACCGCCTGACGTCCGACTTCGAGTTCGAGCTGGAGCCAGATGACTGGACGACGGCGACGGCCAGCAGCACCTCCAGCAGCGAGAAAGGAGGAGGCACCTTCGAGCTGGGACCCCTCGATTTCACCGCCTCCGATATCCTCTCCGACAGCTGGGAATTCTGCTCTTTCCTAGATGCTTCCACCCCCTCCGACCCAGGCGACGGTCCTGAG